CTACATGCATATCACTGGAATACTAATTATGAGGATAGTAACAAGAACCACATTATTAGACCACTGAAGAGTAAGACGGAGTTCATATTTATTGAGGCTTATTTTTAACCCAAAGAGACATGAAAGAGATGTTGCTTAGCTATCCCTTTCAAATTTAAAAAATAAGTGAGCAATATCATTTCTTGAATCAAAATATACCAAAGCAATTTTCCTTATGCTTCCTTCTTTGGAAATTCTCCCATTTCCCTGGCTTTCCAATGGCCTTATAAATTATCACCACCACATATCTATCCTCACTTCTTTCTCGCCTTACCTCTCAACAAAATAGCCTCTCTCTTTTTTTTTTTTTTAATGCTAAGATAGAAAGTATTTTAATAGCAAGAAGTATCACTCAGGGAGTAAGAAAATGCAGAAATTATAACTGCCACCTCCCCAACCCTCTTGGACATCCACTGCTGACCATAACAAATGAGCTGATTCTAACCAGAAGGGTGGTCTATATACGAACATGGGCCAATGCGGTGTTTCCAAATTTTGCCCCGATATAAACCGTATCTTTGTTACAACTGAGAAGCATACCGTTATTGCAACGTCTGTTTGATAACCATAAAGTGAAGCTAGTTGTAGGAGGAGGTGGTGGTGTTGTTGTTAGGTGAGGTGGAGTCAATTCTGACTCATAGCAACACCAGGTGACGGAGTAGAACTGCCTCATAGGGTTTCCTTAGCTGTAATCTTTACAAAAGCAGATCGCCAGGTCTTTCTCCCTTGGAGCTACTGGATGGGTTCAAATTGCCAACTTTTCAGTTAGCATCCAAGCGCTTAACAGTTGTGCTACCAGGGCTTGTAAGTTTATAATTTACTTGGTTGTTGTAAGACATTCCCAGGCAGGGGAGCAATATCAAGAGGACACCACAGAAAAAGCACATAGTGGCATACTGAGGTATTTTTCCTGATCAGTACAGAAGAGTGTTTCACCAGGATGTAAACCATTCCACTCAAACAAAAATGCAGTATTAAAGTCACTCACAAAAAAGTGCAATAATAAGGAGGAACGTTACTGCTTCAAGCTGGTGTCCCAAATCCTAGCATTTCAAAGTGCTGTGAAGCCAGAAAGGGTGGGAATCTAGGAACTACTTGCATTTCCAGGTTTGGGCTCTAGGAGTGCTCTGCTCCACTCAGGTATCTTCCTCTTGGTAGGGACAATCACTCCTTCCTCAACTTTAAGGGAGACGGGAATGGAGTTTCTTAGTTTCTCAAAAGAAATTTTACCAAAAAACTAAAAAAGAAGAGAGAAAAAAAAAAAAGAAAGAGAAAACTGCCCAAACAAGCCAGTACATGGATATGAACGCCATAAAGGTATAAAACCAAAACCAAACCCGTTGCCGTTGAGTAGATTCTAACTCATACCGAACCTATAGGGCAGAGTGGAACTGCCCCACAGGGTTTCCAAGGAGCAGCTTAACCACTGCGCCATTCAATACTTACTATATTACTATATTCAGTATGTGTTTATGTGTATATATATTTAATACTATGTGTGAAGTGAAAATTATACTAAAATTTCTCTTCATTCAACAAATACTGAGTTTTACTATTGCTATAAGCACTGGGGAAACTAATGTATTTGAGTGGGGAGAGAAAGGCAATAAAAAAATGAACAAACGTGAGTTTTAAAGAAAAACAAAATAGAGTCACTGTAGTGTTATTTCAGATAGGGTGCTCAGGAAAGGCCTCTAGGGATGTGGCATGTGGCTGAGACCTGCAAGAGAGAAGAGCGCCAGCTCTACATTAATGGGGCATAAGAGCAAATGCAAAGGTTCTATGGCATAGGCATAGTCCTATGAGGCAGGCCAAGTCACTATCACAGTTCACATGAGGGGGCTATCAGGGAAATGAACTCACCGATCCGAGATTTCTACAGCTAGGAAGAGGCATAATCAACCATATACCTGATTGACTGTTCTACTTAGGCTCCTATGTCCTCCATTTCAAACTCCTCTCCAGGCTCCCTCTTCCATTTCCACTGCCTTCTTCTCATTTCCTCTCCTAACCCTCACAAGACGAGCACTCAATCACAGCACTAGGAACCAATGTGTTTCAGAGAAGGTTCTACTTCATTTAAGCATTTTCTCTCCCCACCCCCATCTCCGAACCCTTGAGGGGAGGGGCTATTAATTATTTACCTTTGCAAACCTAGCAACTAGCACAGCTGGTTACATAACAAACAATTAAGAAATTAATCAATTAAGAAATCTCCTAGGGAGGGATGGAGGAAGGAAGCAAAGAAAGAAGGAAAGAGGAGTCCAGGATGCAGCTCAAATTTGAAACTGAGAAGAGTAATAAGTCCAATTTCCTAGACTTATTACTAGATTTGTGTTATCTTCACTTATTCTCCTTCCCTCCCATTGAAAGCCAAGTTCTATTTCAACAGTCTTAAATTATACAAGGAAGAAACTCCAAATCTGGGTTAATCAGTAGAGTGGGCAGTGGGGAAGGTGAGGTGCAGAAAGGGCATCATGGTGCCCTGAAGTCACACCACATGGGGTACCTACTGTAGAAACTGGCTCAGCACAAATTACTGTGGCTACTTCCCTTTATTAGGGAGCAGCGAACATCACTGTAGATAACTGTTACCTGTTTCCTAAGTGTCAGTATGGTGTACGTGTAAGTCAAAGAACTAGGGAGTCAGATTACCTGACTTTGGGTTCCTGTCCCTCCACTTAGCAGTTATGGGATTCCCTGTCCACTGTTTCCACATATTTTCAGTGCGGAGATGCTCACAAGCCAGTTGCTGTTGAGTTGATTCAGACTCATGGCGACTCCATGTGTGCCACGATAGAACTGTGCTCAATAAGGTTTTCAATGGCTGTTTTTTTGGAAGTAGATCACCAGGCCTTTCTTCCAAGGTGCCTCTGAGTGGACTCAAACCACCAACCTTTCAGTTACCAACTGAGCAGGTTAACCATTGCACCACCCAGGGACTCTGAAGATGCTCACAGCACCCACCTTGTAGGATTGTTGTAAGAACTGAATGAGTGAACACATACATGTAAGGCACTCAGACCAGCGCCGGGCACATGACAAGGGTCCAGTGTACATTAGCTGCTAATTAGGTACTTCCTAAATAAGGAAAATCATGAAAAATATGTTGGTGTAAGCATACAAATCAGAACAAAGTGTCATTATCTTTATTATTATTATCATTCATCACTATCTTTGGAGATGAAAAGGCTACAATAACTTATGGAAGTGACAGATGGAAGACTTGGTCAAGTCCTCTCACTCTTTAGGTGACTTCTTCAACAGCTTTCAGGAGGAGGCCTGGTCTGAGACTTTCTGCAGTGTTCTTTCTATATGCTAAATTATCTGTGTGGGTCCACTTTTTACTGCTTTTTTTACTCCCTAATTGTGATTGGTATATGTATATGTAAGAGAAGCATGACCTCATAATCTTTGATGATGGATGTTTGAACGGTTGGGTTAAAAAATTAAAAAAAGCTTCTGACTCCATTTCTCTCTTCTCTTCCAAGATAATGTGCAGAATTGGAACCTAAACAATGAATGAGTTCTTGAACCCAAATCCTGAGGTTATTCATGTATCTCTACTAGGATTTCATAAGAAATCTGCAGAGATTTTCCAGAGAGCTAGAAATGTCTTAAGTTATAAACCCAGGCCCTGAAGGAACATTTCAGAATAAAGAGCCAATTAATTGCAAAACAAATAATAATAGAACTCTCCATAATGTTGAATGGCTTGGGCAGAGTTTCAATGTCTGGAGCTAATGTTTTAAAAACGCAAAGATCTTTTGCCTTTTCATATCAACCTACCACCAAGGACCCAGGAGGGCAGCAGTGGATTAGAAACGGGCTTTCAGGGCCAAGTACTGCAGAAAGCCTCTTCGCAGACAATTGGACGCGAGGCTTGTTCCCTGCCATTCTGGCGTGCTCTTGAGCTACTGGCGCGGTTCCACCAAGTACAACAAATGTGCACATGAAATCTGACTTTGAGCCCTGATGAGATCTAATCCTCTGCAGCACTCCTCTGCTCTATTCTAAAAGGAGCGAGAAATTAAGAGCATCTCCTCGGGATTCATGGGGAGTTAGTTCTGGACCTTAACCATCGGGGACCCGGTCCCATTCCCAAGCCCTTAAACAATTTCTTCCTCTCAGGGAGGAATCATATTTTTTATCATCCCAGAAACATTATTCATTCCTAGAAATGACCACGCATGCTCTTCTTTCTGGCCTTGTTTCTCTCACGACTGGAGAGGAGTTCTGGAGTCTTTTGGTCGGGAATCCTAGCCAGGTCTCCTCGAAGCCTCCGGGCAGTTCCCTGCGCTCTGTGCCTGGCGCATTCCTTCGCCGCCGCAGCGCCTCTCCCCACTACAACTCCGCGTAACTTTCCCTCCCTGACTCCAGAGGAGCGCCCTCCAGACAACCGTCTGCGGCGGGCGGGATTTTAGCAACCCAAGCCCCCAGAGCCGCGGGCCCAGCTCCTGGCGGGACAGATTCGTCCGCGCGGCGCCTGCAGCCCCGCTCCCCGAGCCCTCGGTCCGCGCGTTTCCCCGCCTGCCGCGCACGCAGCCCGGCAGGTCCCCGAGCTCGGCCTGGCGCTCCGCCGCGCTCGCTCATCCTCGGCTTCTCGCTTCTGGCCCGGCCTCCTCGGACACCCAGCCATCCACCTCCCACCCTCTTCACCGCCGGAGCTGCTTAACTCGACCCTGCTCCCCCGTCTCAACCCCCAGCACAAACCCCGGCGAGAAAGCCCAGCCGGGTCTCCTCAGTTACTCTCGTCACCGTGGGTCTCCATCACCACCCGCCGCTCCAGTTCACATTCACATTCATCTCCTTCTCTCTCTCCCTCTCCCCTCAGACTCCTAACAAGACAGGCCGATCCTTCCCAGGGGCACTCCCTCTCATTCATCCCTCCCACCACACACACACACACACACACTCACACACACACTCTCACACATACTCTCTCACACTCACACACGCACACACAAACGCACCCCAACCCGGACAGCCCACTCCATTTTCCAGACGCCCACCTCCCACACACTCCCCTCCCCTAAACACTCACCCACTCACCATCTGCAGCCTTCCTTCCGCGCCCCGCCCTGCCGGCCCCGCTCCCCCTCCTCAAGAAGCAGACTTGCACAGTGGGAGGCAGGGACCCCCGCCAGACGGCCGCCCGGGTCGCGCGCGCCGCACTGACCTCAGCCCGCCCGGCCGGCGAACTAACAAAGGAGGCGCTTGAGCCCCGACCCGCGAGTAGTGAGTGGCGGCCGCGGGGGCGCCGACCCCGGTTCCGGCTGGCCGGGACGCGCCGACGGGACTGCTCCGGACTCACTAGGCGGCGGCGCCACTGAAGGACGCCGGCCTCGCCGCGCGCGCCGCTCGGACGCTGCTGGCACCATGGGCTGCTGCACCGGGCGCTGCTCGCTCATTTGCCTCTGCGCGCTACAGCTGGTGAGTGCCCCGCGCGCGCCTGCAAAGGGAGGCCCTCTCCCCGGGAGGCCCCCACCCCGCGACCGACCTCCCGGGCTCTCTCTGAGGACCCGCAGCTCTGGGCGCGGGACGGGCGGCCAGCTGAACTGGCAGCTTCCTCCGGCCCCCAGCCTCCCACCGGCCCGGCTCCTTCTTCCCGCTCCGCCGCGGGTACTCTCCCGGTAGCCCTTGCCCCGGCGGGAGGCGCGGTCTCTCTCCCCGCCCCACAGCATTAGGGTTCGGCGCGCCGCTATCGGGAGTCGCTGCGTGGTCCAGGGGCGCTGGGAAAGGAACGGTTTCCCCGCCCGTCGGTTGGACACCTGGCTGTAGCACCCTCCGCATTCCTGCTGAAGTTTCACAAGGGCTTGTGGGCGCTTTCTTCGTAGGGTATATTCCAGCAACGTTGCTTAATTAGAAGGTGCGTGGGAATGCTCAGGTTCTGAGAAGGCAGAAGCAGCCTCAGGTCTCTAATTAATGAGAGTAAGGTGGTTCTTACCTTCAGAAGATTGAAAGGTAGTGATTGAGGAGTATTGGACCTCCAGGAAGTAGGTCCGGTTGTGCTTTTTTTTTTGGATAGAGTGATTCCAGCCACTGTCCTTCCAATTCCGCTTTAGATTTTGTTGAAATGCTGCGTGTTCAGGCAGCGACAGGCTGACAGCTGTCATTAGGAGAGAACAGAGTGAATGGACCCGTTGGCGCGGTGGATTGCCAGGGGAGTGCGTGTAATGGGAAGTTATTAAGAGACCAGAGTGGAGATAAAAAGGCCTTTCTGAGCAGAGCGAATGCTCTTCCTGACGTATGTCCCACTGGGATCTGGACTGACCCTGTGGTGTGTTCCCGGGTCACTTGAGGTCAAGGCCACAGACCTTTTGTGTGTGAGAGATTAATAGACATCTCCCTGTTGTTATATTTAAGACAGATTGTGTAGATGCTCTGCCAAGCTTTCTTCGAAACATTGTATTGTTTAAAAAACAAAAAGTCACAAATATCTAACCAGATCTTTTGACAAGAGGAGGAAAAAGCTTTTCAATGAACTTGATTGAGTAATGTCAACCTTTGTAAGACTCATTAATTGAAGGATAAAATAATGATCTTTCTTTTATAGTTTTTTCTTGTTTCCATGAATGTTTTAAAAGGTTTTTTCCTCTTGCCTCAATGTTTCACTCTCCCATAACAACTTCACTTTAGATGTGTTCTTCATTCCTCGTATAATGCGTGCATAATTTATGTATTCTTAGGTTTGAAAGCAGTACCTGTTTTTCTTTAAATCCATTGGACAGTCCCTTTTGTACTGTGGAAAAAAAAAAAACTTTAATTGGACGTATTTTATATAGTCTTCTTGAAAAAATAATTTTTAAAAATCTACTTGAATATAAATGTTGTCTTTCACTAAAGAAAGAAGGCTGGAGGGTTTTATAGTTATTAGAAATGGACATGACTTATAAGTTGGAAAAACTGAATAATTAGTCAACCCTTGTGGTACGGTGGTTAAGAGCTCGGCTGCTAACTGCCCGTATGGGGACAGTTCTACTCTGTCCTGTATGAGTTGGAATCGACTTGACAGCAATGGGTTGTTTGGTTTTTTGTTTTTGTGTAAAAATGGTGTTGGGGTCGTCTGACCTCCTCTAACTAACTTCATGAAGGGGAGAGAGAACCACTATCAACATCAGCCCAAGGCTGATTCCTATGAGGTGGAGGTCAGACGTGCCTCCTCTCTCCAAACCTTTCACCGAATCTGACACCAGCTGTCCCACTCTACTTCTGTGCTGCGTTCGATAATTCATTGCAGTGGCCACACAGAACTCACAGATAATACGATTATGGGTTTTTTTTTTTTTTTTTTTAGGGAAGTAACAGGTTACAGTTCAGGATTAGGAACAACTCAGGATACAATTCTTTAGTGAGGACGGCTTTTCGGCTGTGCCCGAAGGCAGGCCTCTCTCTTGGCCCCAGGGTCTCTGTCTTGCTTTGTCAAGTGTTAGAAAGCTCTTTAGCTCCACCGATAAGTGCCCAGAGGCACCCTACTCCACCAGAAAGCCTCCTGCCCAAGGCTCTCAGTTCTCTTGCTTGGCGGGTGGGCAGGCCCACTGTAATCACCTTGCTCCGTGGGCCAGGAAGCCCACTGTGCCATCTCATGCCAGTCTCCTGGTTCTGCTGCCACTGTTTCTCTGTCATTATCATTTTTCTGCTACTGCTTCTCGTCCTCTCATACCATATCCAGTGTTACAGCTCTCTCTCTCTGTCTGTTGGATCTAGGAGTTTCTCAGTGTGGGGACCCCAGCTGCAAAGGATGCACTCCACCCCCAGCTCTTCTTTCCTGATGGTAGTGGGGTCCCCTCTCTGCTCTAGGATTGGCTGTCTTTTAAGCCTAGCCGGATGACAAAACTGACCAATCCCCTCATTAGGGTTCTGTACACCTTATTTGCATGGTCCCGCCCTCACATGGGTTCCATGCACTTTATTTGCATTATTAGTACACTGTCCAATTCCCTTAATGGGGCACAAGCACCTTATTTGCATAGTCCCACCCAATCATTTTGTAGGAGTCACAAGAACATGGCAAGAAAGGCCATGTAAAAGCCAATTCATCACATTGCACCTTGATTACGCAAGACTGTGGATAGGCCACTGGTTTACATAATCAAGCAATGACAGTTATTTCTATTTTCCTTGGAAATAACATGTAAGAGTTTTTTTTTAATGCAACAGATTTATCATATAATTATAGTTTTCTTAGCTGGTATTATGATATTTATGATGATAATGCTTTTGGGGTTCCAGCCATCAGCCTGGAGTGCCTCTGCTCTTCATGTACATCTTCTTAATTGATAGAGATACAATTATTCTTCAAATTTGATTTTGAAATTCCATCTTTTCTGTGAAGTCTTCTCTGGTGCTTCAGGTCAAATAAATCATTTTTCTTTTAATCTCATAACACTTTGCCTTTTCCTCTGTAATAACACATTTTGTTGTCTCTTAGATGATCTTAGGTTATTTGCATATATGTCTCATCACTAGCCTGTAAGCAATCTGAGAGTATGCACAAACAGTACTTATATTTGCAAACCCTGCAAGCCTTTAGTACTCATATTGGGAGCTGAAACATACTTTCTGAATTTATAACTGATTATGATTAACATTTACAGTTTCTACAGGGTGTTTGCATAACCATTATTTATTTTACTCCTAAAATTATCCTGTGAAGAAGGCATCCATTCCACTAGTTTGCAGATGAGGAAGGTGATACTCAGAGTTAAACAACTTTTACAAAGTCAGATAGCTTTTAGATGGTAGAAGCAGTGGGTGCTGGTAAATATTTAACAACTGGATCAAAAAACAACAAAAAAAAAAAGGTGCATATTTACATTATTATACCATACATTATAAATTATACTTGTATAAAGAATGTGTAACACTCAGTTGACAAATAATAATCATAAAATATACAATACTCTTTATTGTAAATTCTATATAGCCAATTACTTCCTACAGAATGCTTTTGCTGAATTTGACAAAGTCTTGGTTCTGTAGTTCTGACATGAATTCTGGTAAATGTTTTCATTTACTTTAAGAAGTAAGAGGAAAGTGAAACAAGGAACTCCATTCCTTCATCAGTGAAGTGACCAGGTTCTTTGATAATACGATGTTGTTGTTGTGTGCCTTCTAGTCCATTCTGACTCATGGCGACTCTATAGAATATGGTCGAACTGCCCTGTAGGGTTTCCTAGGCTGTCATCTTTATAGGAGCAGATTGCCAGGTCTTTTCTCTTACAGAGCCGATGGTAGGTTCAAAATGCCTACCTTTCAGTTAGCTACAGAGCACTTAACCATTGAGCCACCAGGGCTCCTGGATGAAGTGGAGAGTAGTTTTCAAACGCTGGAGAAGTTATCCTTGTTTTTTTGGGTGCTATTCACAATGTAATGCTACAGATCTGACAGACTTTCAGGCTTATTAGAATTTTCTCCATCACATTCTTAAGTCTAGACAGTCAACAATATAATAAATCACACCCTAATTTGTAGCATTGGTCCATTTCTTTGGTGTAAATACCCCACCTTGGGCCACTTTCAAGCTAACAACATGATGTCATTGAATGTAGAGGAACTAATGCACAGTGATACCCCATTTAGTATTTCCACCATATACATAAAATAGATATAAATAATCTCAAGAGTATAGATAATTGTAAAATGCAGTAAAAGAATTAGGAAGGGATGAGTTTAGGGTCTCTATGAGTCAGAATCGACTCGAAGGCAGTGGATTAATTAGTAGTTCATTAGTTTTTAATGTGATTTGTTTAAAGTTAAGTTTATATGATTTAATTTGGGATAATGGCTGTGTTAAACAACTGGTTCACAAAATGCCTGAAAAGTTAACAAACTGACTCTCTGAGCCCTGTGATCCTGTTCCAGCATACCACTGGTAGAGACCCTTGTTTCCCAGATCATGTGCTCTTTCCACTGAAACCAGCTGTCGTTTTCCCTCGTTCATGTTTTTTTCTGCTCCCGCCAACTGTTGGATGATGGAGGTTATGAAGCAATAAATAAGTGTGGGCATTGAGATGGGCATGGTATTCTTATTCTAAGATACACGTTTACTGAAGAGACTCTATGTGCTGATGAGCAAGAGTTGACTGTGCAGGTCATTAAAAAGATGACACATTAGCTCCTTCTAAAAGTTAAAAAAGCAAACGAAAGGCTTTTACTGTCTCATTCGCACCTTATCCTAACCACCCTCCAGAGGGAAAAACCATGCTGGGAGATTTAATTGGAGAGAATGTATCATTTTTAAGCTGGTGGATGTGCACGAGTTTTGGCTTGCAAAATCTCAGTCTAGCTCCTTTCTACTGTGTTCATTCCACTGAGCTGGCTATCTTCCATCATTACTTTTTCTCCCTGCTCCTATCACCATGAAAGTTTGTGTGTTTGTACCAGATATTACATTCATGTTCCTAATTCAGTTGGATGAATTTAAAGAGAAA